CTCCAACCCACTGTTCCCAGGGGACAGTTTATGCCTCGTGAAGTCCTCGGTTTGAAAGTTGGGCCATTATTATACTGTTAATATTTTTCAGCAAACTTATAAATGCTTCTGAAGAGTCCTGCTGAGATACGGCATCTTTTGGGCAGTAAATTATGCATTTCTGAAACATTTTCACTCACTTTTGACAGATTTGATGAAAAGGAGAATGTATCAAACTGCATCCAGCTGAAGACTTCAGTTATTAAAGGAATTAAGAATCAACTGATAGACCAGTTTCCTGTTATTGAACCATGGCTAAACCAGATCATGCCAAAGAAAGACCCAGTCAAAATAGTAAGATGGTAAGTTTCTTCTCTTAAGCTTTTCTCCCAAGGTGCTGGGGTTTCTTCCTTTATATATTTGCTTTTGTATAGTCAATGAACCTGGTGTTTTTGAAAAACACTTGTTGTTTCTTAATAGATAATAGTGTATGGTGTGGCCAAACCAGACAGCTTCTATGTGCTCATCGTGCTCTTGAAGGTATTACTGTTTGATGAAAATAAAAATGCTGCCTAGTAGTGTTTGTGTAACCTATTTAGGGACTCTCCAGGTATCAGCCTGTTGTTGAAGTAAAGCATCCAGCTTTATGGATATGGAAGCTTGAACTTGTTTGGATAGCTTCCAGTAGTGTGTGTGCTGGGGTTTTTTCTTACTATTGTTGGGCTTCCATATATTATCAGGACTCTTTTCTTTCATTTTTTTTTGTAGCTTTGCTGGTTCTTTCTCCTTGTCCACTCTTTGTATTGCATTTAAAAAAACGTGAAGAGCTGACTGTTTGTAGATTCTTCCTTCCTTTTTTTTTTTTTTTTTAAGGGGCAGGCAGTGTGCAGGGGGCTGGTGCTGAAGAGCAAACCATTAAAAAATTTAAAATTTTCCTGCTAATCGACTGTCTCAATCCTCAGGTGCCGAGATAGCCCAGATTTGTGAAGTACTTCATTTAAACTCTAAAGGGATGAGGTACCTACTGGAATGATATTTTTTTTTTCTTAACCTTGCAGCCATGAACATATAGAAATCCTCACTGTGAACGGGGAGCTCCTGTTCTTCAGACAAAGAGAAGGGATTTTCTACCCGACGCTAAGGTTGCTTCACAAATGTAAGTTTCCTGAGGGTGAGAGGAAGGGGGAGAGAGGGGCAAGTGTGTGATTCCATAGGAGTTCTGTAGAACCCAATTAAAAAGAACTTACTAACATGTTTTATGTATGTAATTAGAATAGACCTTAAAGATACAATATACTTTTTCAACTGTAATGTATTGCTTTGCTGTTTCAGGTGCCTGTATGGATTGCTTCCCTCATATTTGCTGTAATACTGTATGTTAAGCAATCTGAACTTTGATATCTAAGAATTAAATTGTGCAAAGCTCTGCAAAAAAAATCTTGAGAGAGGCTTCCTTAGGACAGAGATCTGAATTTCCTGTTGTTAGGCCCTGACCTTGTTCTTTCTAGTCTTCCTTTTCACTTCCTTCTTACTAGAACACTATTCTTTACTCATGAGTTCAGTAATGTAATACATACTTGTCATCTGTAAGAATTTCTGCCACGTGCTTTTTACAGTTTACACTTGCATTATTTTTCTTGCTGTTCTCATTGTTCTGCTTCTTGATTGCGTTACTCTGGTTTTGATGAGCATAGGTATCCTTAGAAATGTCAGTCAAATCTCAGTATTTGAAATACTTGATGGAGGTGTGTGCACTTGAAGGATGGCTTGGAGAGCCATCAGTCTTAATGATTTTTGTCCAGCTTTGCCTTTTTTTGTCCTGTTAACATTAAACTGTTTCTTTTTCATGTAAGGGCTTGGTCATGTAATTTGAGGGGTTTAAGAGCCCTTGGTTTTAAGACCTGTTAGTATGTGGGCATTTGTGTGGTTGTTTCCACTGGGGGAACTCGTTCAAATTGTTACTCAGTATATGAGTACACAGGAGGCATGGGCTCAGTGTTGGAATCCTGTTTGGTTCTTGGATAAAAGGTGTGGTCTGGGAGAAAATTACCTGTGTCCTTTCGGGACAGTACAGACCAGCAGGAGCTCCAGTAATTGCTTCTCAAACTTCTTGCCCTCTCAATGCATTGTATATCTAATTGCCCCATCTAAACTGACTTGAGAATAAGTTATTCATGTTGTCATTTTACCATGTTAATTGTGATGCTATATCTTTCCCCTCCTAGACCCATTTATTCTACCACATCAGCAGGTTGATAAAGGCGCCATTAAGTTTGTACTAAGTGGAGCTAATATAATGTGCCCTGGCCTGACGTCTCCTGGAGCAAAACTTTACCCTGCTGCCATTGATACTGTTGTTGTATCCTTCTTTAACTATGAATTACTGCTTGCTGTGAGATGAGTTAAATTTATGTTCTTGTGTTCTAAGCTAATCGTAATCCAAACTGCCTCTTATTTTAATGGTGTTTCATGGAATAACTAGTAATATGAAGAAAGCTGCAGAGGTTCAGATGTTATTTGGCAAGGTTAACATTGTTCTTAAGTTTTGATTTTGATTTTTATTTTTATTTTTTTACTTACTGTGATGTTCCAAACCAAATAACTAGTCCTGTTGTGCTGTTGGGTGGGATGCTGTTCCATTAACCTAGTTGATAAGTGGAGCTTCTTTGAGTTTATGCATAATTGTAAAAACAGGTGAGTTACAGTGTAACTTGTCCACTGATGCCTTAATCTTGTGTCTCCTTCAGTTATAGAATTTGTTCCTGTTCCTAGGGAATTTGGAAAGATGTTTAGGATCAGCTTTGCTGTAGTCAGGAGTTGCTTTAGGTGTCTGATGAAATTAGCATATGTAAAAAGAGGAAAATATGCTAATTCACTCCTGTTCATTATATTACTGAAAAAGGAACCCTGAGCACACACAGCAGTAAACCCACCAAGCTGTGCTGCTTTTGTTGTTAGTTAGATGCTCTTGGAAAAGATTGGTAGTTACCATTGGTGTTGCTAAGCTTTGAAAAGACACATCTGATTTCAGTACTTCTGCTTTTTTTAGAATTGTGTCTCAATTCCTCTGTACCTTGAAGTCTAAAATGATCCCACAAACATGCGCAGTTTTGTTCCAGAAAGGGTGAGGCCATCAGAGTTAAGCACAAAGGAGTGTAGTGTGGGAGATCTCTTTCTGTAACTGCTGTTCGAAGTTCCTAAATACATGCTTTGTTCTACACACTGTGATTCAATTGTTAAGTGCAGTGCATTGTTTTTCTTACCTTTTAAGAGCTGGAGCTCTAGAATTACTAAAAAGGTAAAAGTTCAACACTGGATTTTGAGACTTTCTGGGAAGTTGTTTCCTCATATTGCTTTTCTGAAATAGCTTTAAAACCGATCTGTTTTCCTTAGCGGTAATTTGTAGGCAATAATGGCAGAGGGAAAACAACATGCATTATGTGTGGGAGTAATGAAGATGTCAGCTGAGGACATGTAAGTGTGTTAAAAATTGAAATATAACTTGCCCCATGTCATTATTCTTATGCTAGTTTGGAATATAAGCACCACTGTCAAGGCTACTGTATTGCTGTTGCAGCATATGTTGTTCAAGTACAGAATGTGTTAAGATTTCATTGTGTTGATTAATATTCAGGGAAAGAACAGGAGGAAAGGAATAGCTTCCCTGCTTGTTTGTTTACTGACTGAGATCAAAATAGTTCTTTTCATGTGAATGTGGATTTTAAGACGCACAACATTTGTACTGCTAATGAATGTCAGTATTTCTTGCTCTCTGATCATAGTTTTTCAAAGGTCTTGCTGAACAAAGAAATACTTGTATGGAGTACTTACTATCTGGGCTGGGCAAGAGATGTAATTTAGGTTGGAAGGGGTTGAAAGTGATTTTTATTTTTTTTTTTTTTTTTTTTTTTTTTCTGGCGGTTTTTTTTTTTTTTTTTTTTTTTGTTTTTGTCTGCAGGGACAGCAGAGACTAAAGTCCTGCTGGCACTTGGTTGGCCATCTGGGCTTTTGTCTGTGGCCTTCTCTTTTTCCTTACCTTGAGCCTACACACAGGATTCCTGCTTGATGTGGTTACCAGCTTAGATGAGTTTCTTGTGAAATGCAGAAGCCTGTTCAGGGAATAAACATTAACTGAAAACCATTTGAGAAGGAAAAGAAACAGAAAGTAGAAATGGATGTTAGTTGTTTGTAGCATTCAGATAGCGCTAAATCATAAGTAGCTAAACCACTTCTCGGTTTAAATTCTGTAACTTCTCGCGGCAGGTTGTAAGCTGCACCCAGCAGGTTTGGCCTGCTGTTGGTTCCAGCCCCATCTAGTGCTTGTGTGGGGGAGGAAGCTGATTTTGATGCAAACAAGTTGCTCTTTCATGTGGAGATAAATCGCAGCAGGATCATCATCTGTGCTGGGTCACTCTAAGGTCCTAAGAGCACTAGGGAAGAGGTAGGAATGTGTTACAAAGGACAGGGATAGAGTGGGACTGCAGCAACCTGGATTTAGACCTCCTGTAGCTGTGGAGGAGTTACATTCCTTAGGATTCTTTGTAGTGCCCTCAAAAGTCTCCAGGAGTAGGTGGAAAGAATAGCTGCTTCTGTCCCAGTCCTACATCTGCAGTGATCTACTGTGATTGCTGCAAATCGAGATCATGCGTATTCCTAATCCTCACTTCAAATTCAGCAGCCTTGCAGCTGAATATCCTATTCCTGTGAGAAGCAGCATTGGAGAGGAAATGATAGTGATCTATGCAGCCTGTTAGCATGGAAATTGTGCCACAGTATGATTTGTCACTTAGTGTGACTATGGTACATGACGCGTTGTTGCAATTAACGTAGTGGTATTTTCCTTCCTGATTACTTTTAGACAAGTTGTATAAGTAATGGAACACTTAGTGTAAATACAGTAAATTATATTCTCCAGGGGAATGAAACTTGTCTCAGTCCTAGAATGAAGAGATTTGTCTTGTTTATGGTGACAAAACTAGATTTTTCTGTGGAATAAGGTACTGGAAAAAAGATGAACACAAATCCAATACAGACACATAAACCAATCGTATTTAAAAGATGACCTGACTCAAAAGAGGTAGAAGGATAGACATGCTGCAAGTCCTTGGCACTTATATGTAGCATTTTTAATTCTTTAATTAAGTGGGTAGATGTCCCACAACCAGCAGTGAAGCACCTCGCTTGTATTTGATTATGTCATTGACAACACCTGGAACCAGAACGTGTCAAATTCCACATTTCAGCCATGTTATACAACCTCCTGTGCTCGGAGCAGGAGAGTCACTTAAAGCTGCTGTGCTACTTTCACAGGGAAATGCTGAAAATAAGAAAAGTAGCAGAAGTGTTGTCTGAAACCTGCCTCCCATGAAGAAGTAGTTAAAAAATACTGTGGAATGTTTGTTGAGAAAACACGGAAGGCAAATACTGCCCTCTTATCATTCAGCAAAGTGGGTACATGTAATAGCAAATACTGTTTCTTGTCCACCTGCTGTTGAAGATTGCGACACATTGAATGATAGCTTCTGCCCTTCCAGTTGATAAATGTTGCATTTTCTACTTGAAATACTGTATTTTGTACTGCTCTAATATTTAACCTAGCTAATACTTCTGTACCTTTTCCCTCCTCCTACAGTGAGAAGGTCAACAAAGGGATCGGTATTGAAAATATCCACTATTTAAATGATGGCCTTTGGCATATGAAGACATACAAGTGAAACAAAAGGAACTGTTACTCCAAAGGAATGCACTTAGATTAAATGTGGACTGCTTTGTAATTCCTTATTTTTAATGTGACTGAATGTACAAATTATTTTGTTCTGTGGCTATGCTAAATAAATCAAGTGAATGCGAAAGTTCTGTTAGGCTACAATAGTTTTCTAGACTTCTTATTACAGTTCTTTTGTCTTAAAGCCAAGTCTTCAGTGACTGAAGATAGCTGATGGCAAGATCCTGCATGGACTGTGAGTAGACTATTTCAAACAAAAAGGAGGAAAAAGCCAAGAAATGTTTACATTTTTATGCTCTTTTAAGAGTAACATAAAGTGTGTGTGAAATGTAATTAATACGGTTTATAAAACCTCTGAAACATTTCAGTTTTTTCTTCTTTCAAAAAGGTTAACATCTTTTTGGTCTACCTGTTTCTTGAATCAGTTTTTTTTTTTGGACATTATTTTTAACTTAATTTATTAACGGCATTAATTTCAGTATTTTACATAAGGATTTTTCTTTTTAATATGCATTTATCTGTATAGGATTTATGAACTGAAGACTGGTATGTGGACTAGAAATTTTTATGCTAGTTCATATCTGAAGAATATGTGTATATGTTCAAGTTTCTACCTGCCAACACTGTTTGATATCGCTGTCCTTATAGTGGAGTTCTCAGTAATGTGGGCATACTCCACATGGAGTATGTGCCAACCTGGTGCCTGATGCTCTATTCCCTTTGCCGCCTTATTTTAGAAGCAGAAACAAAATTACTGTTTAGCAAAGGCACAGTAGCAAACATGGTTGTCAGTGTAGCCAGGAGTACCTTCTTAAGGTGGACCTTCAAAAGAGATCTCTGCTTGTGCACACTGCCACGTGTATGTACACCTACAGAACGGGTTAAAGAGCACTGTGTATTTGTCTGGATAATCCAACTCTTTGTTCAGTGACTGCACACCTAAAGCTATACCTATGGAAAACAGCCTGTGCTGTGGAATCATTTAATAAACTAAAGAAACTTTAAGGTCTACCACTCATAACTCTGTCTCTGGAAGCATTTATTAATATTTCAAGTCTCTGTTCTAACACTTGTATAATATAATGGCAGAAGGTGATTTTGCACAGAAGTGCATTGTGTCAGTGCTGTTTTGCATGTTTGATTTCCTCACACTGGGGCCTTTACAGAACCTAGTGGTAGGGGTGGTCTCTGATTGATTCTAAAGTCAAGTTAGATGGCAGATGGAATGTGTTTCCTAATACATGCTACTTGTAAGTAATTTTACAGGAGAAATTTGAAAGATCATACTTTTGAAGATGATAGGGTAAAGCTGAAACTGTTAATGTAGGAAGACAAAAATTAAGGTGATAACAGCAGTGTTGCAGAAGAAAGTTTGGTCAGACCTTCCCTTCAGAATGCTAATGAACATTTTTATCCATCTTAAAGACTGCTGTAAATGTACAGATTTATTGTTAGTCCTTCAGTGAGGGTTTTTTTTGGTCTTGAGTTCTGTGGCTTTCTTTTTTCCTTTTCATCTCGTCTCCTTCTGTTGTGTTACAGTACTTCTCAACTCTGTGATAAATGAGATTTATTCTGGTTTCAGTTGTTAGCTCTTGTTCTTTTTCCTTGCCTTGCCCTATGACTGCCAGTGTTGCAGTCTTTAATATCAGAAACAACACTGAAATACAAATTTTACCTTGTCTGCTTTGCCAGAGTATTCCCAACTGTGGATCTAACCTTTTAACAATGATTCTGTAGAAAAGATGAGTTAAATCATGCTTGAATTAATTTGTATACCAATTTAGTAGAACCCAAAAATAATAATTTAAGGTTTCTTTCTAGGTTTTGGCAGCAATTGTGTATGTGTTTGCCTCGGTGTGTCAGCTGAGTTCTGATTGACACGGAGGAGAGGGTGTAAAAGGTGAGACAAGCTGCACCTTCTGAAACAGCTGAGCTGTGGTGTCTTGCTTGGGGCTCTTGAGCAGTCATTTTACCCTTGTCAAAAATGAAGGACCTGATGCTTAAAAAAAAGATGTGGATATTTTCTTCAGCTCTGAAGCAGCTGTTTCACCTGCCCCTGACAGCTCAGGACAGGATGAGATATTAAAAATGGTCTGTTAAAGAAAGAGGAGGTAACATACTCTCTTGTCAGGTCTTTTATGGCTATTGTAGTACCAACAAAGCCTATGAGTGTCCTAGCTGTACCAGGTAAGGATGGTACTGCACCTGCGTCTTGAAACATCCAGGTCAGGTCAGTGAATTCTAAATGGAATAAACTGAAGTGCTCTTTATCCCTGCTTGCTGTGGCTGGAAGGGAGTGTGAGAGTGTGACCTGGTAACTTGGATAAAACTGATTTCAAGTGCACTTGACTGTGTAAAAAGCAAACAAATGGAAACAAAAACAAACCCCAAACAACAAACAAATGCAAACCCACAAACAAAATCACCAATTAGGAATCCAAAGACCATCCCACCCCAGCACTGAGTTCTGCATGTTGCTTTGTTGCAACAAGTAAAACATGTTTTACATGCAAAACATGTAACCTGTTTTGCATAATATTCAAAGAAAGGGTGGCAGTGCAAGCACATGTTGCTCTTCCTGCATCTTGGTGCTAAAAACATCTGTAAATGTATCTATGCTTGTATTGACATTTAACCAACTTCTTCCTTGTAAACACTATTACCACCATTAACAGGAATGAAAATAATACTGAACCTTTACTCTTAATATGCTTATCTATGGAGTGAAATTTTAAATGTGCCATTACTCTTGTGCTAACAGGCTACTTGACCATGTTAATACTTATTCAGATATAGTTACCTCTTTTGTCTGCTTAAAACCAGCAGTCCAAAGGTCACTTAATATTTCTCTGCTGCAATTTCCTGACCTCTTGTTAGCTTTTTCCTGCTACTTCATGATGGGGCTGGGAGGCTGTGCATGAAGCGATAGGTGCCACGTACACTGCACAGCTCAAGCTGTTGTGTATTTAGTGTAAAGGAAGTGGCTTAAAATTAGTCTTTGAGACTGCAGCTGTAGCCAGTTTTATTGGTACGTCTTGGTACAGATTGGTATATCTAGAAAGATATAAAGACATTCTAGAAATGCCTGGAAGAATTGAACGAATCGAAGTCTTGCAAAAAATATATTTGTAATAGTAGACTAAAGTTCACTTGGGTTTTCATTAATATTTACATGTACAAACCCCCCCTATAAACTTAATTTCCTTTTATTATAAACATTAACAATTTCTTTATCGTTTCATTCCAGCAGTGTCAAAAGCCAGAAGCATTTCTGTATAAAAGATTTAGAAAAAAGTTCTCCTTCCACTTTTAAAATGAAGAGCTTTACCAAACCTCAATGTGCAAAAAAACCCCAAAAACCTGTATACCAGTACCACCAGGTACAAAATGAAGCGTGTCAGTACAAATGTATGTGGTGAGAAGAGCCATCTCCGTGCTTCCAGGTCTGCTTTGAGGAGACATCAGTCATTGTCTGAGCCTGGAGGTGGCAAGAAGACAAGTGCATCGTTGTACGTGTGGCCGTAAGGTCGCAGCCTGTAGACACCGTACATCATCACGTGCATGTGGTTTGGGGCCAGGCCACTGAAGGTGATGGCCATGTCTGAGCAGCAGCCTTCCACCACCTGCTGAGGGTGAGTAGACATTGCTTCCTTAATGAGAGCACTGACTGACTTGGTGTTGAAGACATCTTTTCCTTCTGAATCTTCTGCGTTTTCAGCAAACACTCCGGTGTACTTCAGGCAGATCGCCAGCTGTTTGTCCTCAGCAAGCTTCCAAATCATGCCTCCCTGCTCCGGGCACTTGTCAGAGTCTTCAAGAATATGGAAGAGTCGTCTTAGCGATTCAATGCTTAAGACAATTCCTCCCTCACCATCTACGTATTCAAGGTCACCAGATTTCATGGTGTGGCCTACATAAAAAGGCTGTGAGGGGTCTTTTTTCAGTAAGAAATATTTGAGATTTTCAATAATAGCAAATGTTGTTGGATATGCAAGGAAGAACCAGCTGAATTCATCTTTATAGCGTTCGTATGTTATCTTGTAAGCTTTTCTCATCATCGCCCACATATCGTTTGTGTTGAGGGCTACAGAGTCAAACACTTTGACATTTTCCGAGCTGTAGAATTCCACCTTGTCGCAATGCTTGCTCCACGTCTCTCTGACTGCAGCCCAGTGCCCCAGATCTTTGGGTTTCACGAGGATGATACAATAAACACGGATACTTTTACTAAGTTCCATGCGTTCACCTTCTGAAAGGTTTAGGACATCTTCTTTGCTGGGAGCCTGGATGTGATGATGCTCGTGGCGATGGGCCTTAGTCCCGTGGCCTACCTTCATGTGTCCCAGGAGTGTGACCAACATGCAGAAGGCTCCTCCCAGCACCACTCCCTTCACGAAGGAGCTGCTTTCGGAAATCATTTTTCCTAGGAAGGAGACACGCTGTCAAGAACTTATAGGCATAACTTTACTAGGGCAGATCCCGCACAGTTTTAATATGTTTTTCCATTTCTGCACGCAGGTGCAGTTCCCTTAAATCACGGACACCGCCGGTGAAAGAGGTGACAAACCCAAGAA